TTAGAACCTGCAACCCTGTCCTCCCCAGGCAAGCGCCCTCCCCTCTAGGCACGCAGGAACCCACCCCCCTACCTTCCCGCGGGGAGGCCCTTTATCCTGCCTGCTCTAGGGCCGCCCGTCCTGTCCCGACCCGACCCCGGGGGAGGTGGGACTCGAACCCACGCCCCTGTCCTCCCCACTCCCTATCCCCTAGGCCACACGGGAAACCAGCCCGGCCCGCGGGCCAGAGAGGCAAAGAAACTCCTCCCAGGCCAGACAGGGGCAGACCTCAGAGCTCTCTGCCTGGCGCCTTCCCGCCCGAGTCCTCTCTCTGTCCCCGCCGCGGGGTGACCGTGACCGTGCGCCCCCTTCTCTCCCTGCAGAAGGTCCGTGCCAGGGACACGCGGGTGGCCGAGAAAACGGTGGAGCTGCAGACGCACTTCCGCCGGGGCTCCTTGCTGCGGCGCTCCAGCTACGCCTTCTCCCACAAGGAGGGCTACGCCGACCTCATCACCAAGGGGGCCAGCCTGCGGATCAAGGGCTCTAGGAACCGGCCCTCGCTGGGGGCCATCAGCAGCCAGAGCTTGCAGCTGACCACGCGGGAGGACGTCATCACCACCATCCCCTCAAGCCCACGGATCTTCCTAAAGGAGGACAATTAGCGGGATCGGCAGCGTCACGCGACTTTGGGCCTTGGGCGGCCTGCTGGGTCTGGAGCCTGTGGAGCGGGAGAGCCAGCCGGGCACCGAACTCGCTGCACGGCTCCTTTAAGAGTAACAGGTTCCTATTTTCTGCCTCCTTCGCCAGCCTCCGCCGAGTGCCAGGGACGCCCAGTGGCCACCAGTGTTATTGGCCGGCGGGACTGATCTGCGGCTCTTGCTGCTGTATCCAGGGTCTGATCCACAGCTGCTGTCAGGGAGGAGCAGGGGGAAGAGCCCAGCCAGGACCAGTCGTGCTCTGAGCAGCTGCGTCTTTCCTACGCTGCGCTCAGACTTCGGGCTTACCAGGAGGACCCAGAGGCTGATGGCCTCTTCCTGCCCCAGAGACCCCTCTAGCAGCCCCTGCATTGTAACGAATGCGCGGGCGCCGCTGTGCGCCGCTGCCCTCTCCTGGAGGGACTTGGAGTTGTGCCAACTTTGGGTCATAGCCCCTCTACTGTTCCCAGGGAATCTTTCTGACCGTAGGAGACCAAGGCCTGGGTCTTTGGAGGAGGAGGATAGGGATCTTGTGTCTGTGGCGGCTGAGACTGTGCGAGCAGCCAGCGCCGCAGCTGAGCAAGCCGTGGGGGTGGCCCTGGCCTGTTCGGGTACATTCAGCGGGCTACATGAATAAAGGGCAGCGGTGCAATGACAGCACTGAGTCTGGCTTTTAATGCCACCTGGGGCCTCGCGATGAGCTCTCTGGGGCAAAGGCCACCGCTGGTCTGTGCTGGCTTGGGGGGAATGAAACATCCAGGCTGTGTCTAGACTGGCAGGTTTTCCGAAAAATCCGTCGCTTTTCCAGAAAAACTTGCCAGCTGTCTACACTGGCCGCTTGAATTTCCGCAGAAGCACTGACTTCCCACTGTCTGAAATCAGGGCTTCTTGCGGAAATACGATGCTGCTCCCGTTCGGGCAAAAGTCCCCTTTGCTCAAAAGGGCCAGTGTCGTCAGCTCAGATTTGTTTTGCGCAAAAAAGCCCTGATGGGGAAAATGGCGACAGGGGCTTTTTTGTGCAAAAGCGCGTCTAGATTGGCCACGGATGCTTTTCCGCAAAAAAGCGCCGCTCATCACGCAGGGCTGGGCACTCACGCCAGCCAATACCGGTACCCCGTGCAGCCCCAGGCTGGATGCAGGTGCTGGGCACTCACGCCAGCCAATACCGGTACCACGTGCAGCCCCAGGCTGGATGCAGGTGGGTGATCGACCCCGGAGCTGTGGTGCAAGGGGGCTGGTGCAGCCCAGTGCGCTGGGCCGGCAAGTTGTTTTTAGCTAGTACCGTGTACTGGGAAGATTCCCTGCTGGCCAGCCCCAGCCCCTGCACCGGCTGCCCCATCTCTGTGTACAGGGACAGGCTGGGGGGGCCCTACGGCAGCCGGGGGGGCTGCCTGCCTTCTGCTCCCATGCCCCACCCCCCTCCACGGGCTGCCCCGTCTCCCCACAGGGCTGGGGAGAACCCCAGCAGGGTGAGGAGTAGAACACGGGCAGCTCCTGTGGCTGCTGTAGGCGTAGGGTCCAGGCAACATGGGCTGGGGACAGAGAAGCAAGTGGGAGGGGAGCGCAGCGGAGTCACAGGGGGCTGCCCTGTGCCCCTCCCAGCTGGTGTGTCCTCCCCTCCCGTACCCTGAGCACCCCCAGGAGCCAGCTCCCAAGGGAGTCACCAGCTCTTGGGGTCCAGATCTGGTCTGGCTGCCCCTCTGGAAGCTGCTGTAGCCAACCCCCAGTGGCGGGGGGGGCTGCACTGTAAGGCCCTGGGCGGTCGCACTGGATCGCCCCACGGCACCCTTCGGGCCGTACCACCTGCGCATCGCTGCATGTTGGGAATGGAGCTCAGGAGACCCCCGAGCCCTGGGAATCTCCTACCCACACCCCAACCTCCCCCCTCTGGCGAGTCAGTGACAGGGCGGGGGTCCCCATCCCGTGCAGGGTGAGCACCCCCCTCCTTCGAGCTGTCCTCTACTTCCCAAGGACTAAAATCAACAGGGTGGCCCTGATGCACACGGCAGCAGGGCCCAGTGGTTAGAGTCAAGAGGGTGGCAGGCAGCTGCTAGGGTAGGGGAAGCCAGGCCCTCCCCACCCAGGTCCCAGCCCAGGGTCCTGACCA